GTTATTATCTTTCTATCTATCTATCTATCTATCTATCTATCTCTTGCTCTTGTTTGCTTTTTTACGCGTTAGCTGGATTTACAGTAAATTCATGACTCACCACCTACTGTCTCATATCCCGTACACCTTTCTCTGTTTCAAACAGAACTGAGGAGGACTGAGTGCCTACCCAGTAGGCGCAGTAGGTAAGTGTGGTCGTCGCGATTAATTTGCAAAAAAAAAACAAACAAAAACAAAAAACTCAAAGAAACACTCTTCCAGAAAGCTTTAACGTCGTGCGCGATTTAGTGCGATTTCGAGATCGTGGGATTTTTCCTCGGGATTATCTCTCTCTCGCGCGACTAGAATGTCTCCCCGCGGGTAAATATTTGCTACTGTTTCGTTTTCGCAGGCAAGCCAGAGCTGTAAATAAAAATTATGTATGAAATCACTGAAATTACTTTTCCACAAACTCTTTTTTTTTTTCCCCTGAAATATGTGAATATAAAATAATTTTTATAAAATATTTAAAGAGTTAGAATTTTGACAATTAATGCTAAATTTAATATTAATGCAAATTTTGTGAAAAACGAGAAAGAAGTATTTTTATTTACTTTTATATACAAAAATGTTGAATTTATTTTTCGCAATTTTTAACATATTCAATATTTAGAGAACAGTTATTCGTTTTTAGAGATGTATTCACAGTTACAGCTCTGGCTTCGCGCTGGTTTTCTGCGAATGAATTCATTCTCGCAATTCAAATACCCATCAATTTTTCAATTGAAGGAACGACGGGCAAACATTTGCCGGGGATTGCGAAGTAATAAAGAACGCGGGTTTACGCAGTGAACGCACAGAAAGTTAGAAACAGAGTTGCGCAAAAAAGAAAAGAAAAAAAAAAGATAAAGAAAAGAAAACGAAAATTCATACATTTCTATCTCTCTGTTGTTATTTATCGATGAAGCTTGTTGTTAATGTCATCTCTCTATTTTTTTCTGACAAGTCCGTCCCTATCGATGGTTATCAAGGTAATGCTAATCCCATATTTATATCAATACTCCTCATATTATGTATTATATATTTCGTATACTTGTCTTCCGTAAAAGTTTTTTCATTGAAAGATGTGGTTTTTCGCGATTGCGATTCCGAACGCCCGAAGTCGGCGGACACCTCGGGAAGCCGAGTGCAAAACCAGATCTTTCAAAAACAAGCTGTTACGTAGTCGGTTTGTTAGCTATATAGCCGCAATATTATATAATATGCAACATTGTGTACATCTCACTTGTACTTGCATCGTTGAACTACGTTTTTTTCTTTCTTTTTTTTTTTTTTACTTTATTCTCACTCGGAATGAATATTGCGATGCAAAAAATACACTTATGGGATATTTTTGAGATACTTGGACAAATTTCTGGGCACGAAACGGAAGGATTTGTATCAGTATGCATTTTCGAAACACATATTGATGCGAACTCTCTTCTGCTTTTCGTTGCGAAAGATTCCAAAGTTTGTCCAACTGATTTTGGAAACACCTTACGTGAATCGAGTGTATCGCATTTGTGTTGTGAAGTTGGCTTTTATTTCGAAACTGATTTTTGTATTTCGATGTTGAAAAGAGAATAAGATAACATTGTCGCTCCCGACGAGAGGAATAACACCTTTGCCGCGAGGAGCTAAAGTTTTCGGCGAGCGGAGTAGCTTTTGTCTGTTACATACATATGTATACGTTGATATATCGATAGAACGGAGCATTGGTTTTCACGTACACGGATACGTTGTGTACTACAGCTTTCTTTATATATTGTCAGCACAAAGGTATGCACTTGTCGACAGGAAGACGTCCACTGCAAGATTTATATAAAAACTAAATATTGTTTGACAAATAAAAAAATTAAAAAAAAAAAAAAGAAATATTGCGACCGCCTCGAGACTTGCGTAACGTTTGTCAATCTCCAAATTTCATAGATCCGAATCCCCGAAGTCCGGCAAGAAGAAAGAAAAGTCGAAGAAGAAAAAGAAGGAGAAGAAGCATAAGAAAGCCGAGGCCACGTCGTCTGACAATGACTCCAGCGAGGATTCCGACGATAGCAAGTAATGAACGATGGTTGATCCACGCATTCGTTTTATATTTTTTTTTAAGTCACTACTTAATTATTTATTGTATCGTGATATAATGTGTACTGCGCAGCTCGTCCGAGACCGAGTCGAGGAAGAGGAAGAAGAAGAGGAAGAAAAAGCTGAAAGTCGAGGGAAAAGAGAAACATGAGGTACGCACGATGCTTCGAACGGAAGCTAGAACGTAAAATTACTATCTCTTCCCGTCTCTCTTTCTCTCTCTCTATATATATATTTACATATATACTTTGGCACGTGACCGTAGATGCATGATAACGTCTTCTGGTTTATGTTCGTTTCTCCTGAATTTGTTGAACCGATCGACGTTGGGTGATATCATTATCGTTACTCCGATCTCTTGGGTTTGCCGCCGGCCGACAAAAAAAGAAAGACGCTCTAGCATGCAGCGATCTCCCCTCTCCCTCCCTCCCCCCGCCACCCC